GGTGGCTTTGCCTGAGCATAAGGCGGAAGGGAGTTTAGTTCTTTGGATCTGCTGTTCTATACTTTTGGGCAAGTTGTTTAAATACTCAGTGTTTCAGTTTCCTCGTTTGTAAACTGATAATTATAGTAGTTACTACTTTACAGAGTTGTTAAGAGGGTTAACTGAGTAAATACATGTGAAGTCTTCAACAGTGCCTGGCACATGGCAAGCATTTAATAAATGTTGGCTATTACTGTTGTTATCTCTAACTCCTAGAGTGGTGCCAGGGTCCATGGGTGAGAACTGAGGAATAGTCCCTGGGACCAGTTGACACTTCATGAAGAACCAGATGGTCTAACAGTGATTCATTAGAATTCACTTTTGCTGAAAAATAGGGCCCAGTTATGATTGCCCCGCCTTTCCCCTACACACACACACACACTGTAGATCACCCAGTGACAGGCCCTTGTTTTTGTCCCTGCTGTGAGTTAGCTCTGTTACAGTGGTTTTACCTGAGGTCCTAAGGCTCTGTGATTCATACCAAGGAACAAATTAAAACCACGTCCTGTTAGTGTTGCTTAGCGGTCCTGAGATCTGTCTACAGCGGCTTTGGGAAAAGCACAAATAGCTATCACCACAGTCCTCGATTTCTTGGAACATATGTGCAAATTACATTGAGTCCTAGGAATGAACAGTGCTATCATTTTTTGAGATCTTTGTTGCTCCATTGTCCCTTGCAGATGCTCAACTCTATATTCCCTTAGATCAAGAGGTGGTTTTGTTACATTGATGAAAACTATGTGTGCTTTTAAAGCCTTTTTTTGGTCTATAGGAAACATTATTAAATATCATTGTGGCATTCTTAAATTCTCCAAAGGAGAATCAGCATGATGCCCAGTGTGACATAAAATGCAGCAAAGCTTTTATTATTTCATGCTGTCCTTCCTTTGTCTAAAATTTTTTAGAGTTTATTCTAGTATTAGAACTCTAGGAGACTCCAAAGGCACAGTTGTCGAATGAAAGGTTGGACCCTGAATTTAATATATATCTTTTGAAGCCTAGGGTATTGATTTACTGGACAGTGTTAGAGTTCTAAAATCTAATTCTGAGCCTGTTACCTAGCAAATTGATGAAATTGAGACATTATCAGCCAAGGTGGATGGAAGACGCTCGGGGTGTTTAGCCAAGACTCTCAGAGGGTAAGGAGGAACTTGAGCCTGTCATTTCTCCCCGGGTTACATAAATGCTGTTACTAAGATTGACAGGACTGAGAAGGCAAGGCCATCTAACTGCTGGCCTCTTGCATCCTGGCAAAGGTCAGAGCCGAGGAGGGCTGTCATCTCAACTCCATGGCGATTGGGTGCTGGGGTTGCAGTCTGTTAACCTTCTCCTATGTTAGGAATCCTGCTGTAGAAATCAGGATGAGAGAACAGGGTCTGTTTTGGTTAATTGTTGTCTTCCTACAAAATAGGATCGAATCCAGCTTATTAGGATATATAAACTACAAGGTATATGTTTGAAATAGGAGAGAGAGAGGAGATGGGGAAAGGGGAGAGGGAGAGTGATTGTTTGAAAGATTTCCCTAGAGAATGAACTGCCTGAATGTTGAGAGAGAATGGGATAGAAAGGGCTGTCTCTCCTTGTGACTGTCTGGGTAGGCAAGACGGCTTCACATCAAAGCGCAATTCGGAAAAACCATTCCATAGCCCAGCACCGCGGTAAACCATGCTGAGTTCTCTGCTCCTCCCTTTCTGCCAACCAGGGCAGATGGAAAGACTGAATGACCACTTTTCTTTCTGGAAGTCTGTGAACATTGATTTAGCTGCGTCTTTGTTAGCTATTGGGCAGAACTAACTTCAATATAGTACTCAACTGTATAGGACTTGGAATATCACATTCTGTGTTGTCACTTAAAAATGGACTCGTTTGCTTTAGGAGCAGTTTAGCTGGTAGACAGGATTTTTGTAAAAATTTAAGGCTCTGTTCTCCTCCATTTCTGTGTTTTGGGAAAGTTTTCATGTGTGAACACACTGTTCAAAGGTTTTCTTACCAGTGACACCTTCCTTCACTCACCCCGCAGTGCTAATTTTCTTTGTACATAATTTTATTGTCTCAAATATATGAGATGTCTCATATCTTTATGCACCTTGTTATCTCACTTACCACATTGTGTTGTAGTTCTGTGTCTGTGTGTCTCCTGCTAGGCTGTGAATGCCTGGAGGATAAGGGCAGGTCTCAGTCATCTTTGTTTTCCCACACTCCCCAGGACAGGATCTGACATGACACACAAAAAAACATGTATTGTGGGTATTCCATAAATGTTGAGTAAATGATATTCGCAGAATATTCTGGATGTAAGCCTTAAAACTGGGATACTGTGTTTATCGGCAAATTCTTGTGCCCTTTTTCCTCTTTAGTTATGGCATAGACGCCTGATAAGTTTCATGGTGATCAGACATGAGCTGTGTTTGATTGCTTGTTGATAATGGGTGATGACAAGTGCTGTCATAATATGGCTGCTTTGGTTCCAAGGTCATTTCTCTCCCTTGGTTGAGTGTAAGTGGGTTTATTGTTTATGTTCTAGGGCATTTATCATCATCTGACCTCTGTAACCCCTGGTTTCCATTTGGATCAAATGAGATTTGTGCACGGCGAGTGCCGGATATGCCTAGCATATCTAATGTGCACTGAGCTGATTGAACAGCTTTTGACTGACTCTTGACTCTCCTTTTTTTGCTGCAAAATTGTCATTCTAATTCGTCTCAGAACCTTCATTATACTTTTTGCTTCACAAATCTGATTGCTCTCAAGGAAAGAGATTTATTTTAAAATTGTACAGATTATCATTAATGTGAAATGAATGGCAAGAAACAGTCCCCCTACCTAATGTTTCCATTCCATGAGAAGCATCTGTAGCTTTGTATACCTAGGGGGCGAGGGTCTGCTCTGTGCCCAACACACAGCTTAGCATATGGAGTGACTTCTACTCTCCTTGGATGAATCAGTGTTTGCCTGTGAACCATTATTTTAACACCAAAGGCACTGTGGGCTCCAAAGGCAGTTCACTGATGATAGCCTCTGCTTCAGATATCTTTTTTTACTTTAAAAGTGAGTGATTCTAGACCTTTAAAATTGAGAGGTGAGGGACCAGCCCTGAGGCCAGTTGGTTAAGTTTGTGCCCCCTGCTTCAGCGACCCAGGGTTTCACCAGTTTGGATCCTGGGCATGGACCTAGCACCACTCAAAAAGCCATGCTGAGGTGGCATCCCACATAGCACAACCAGAAGGACCTACAACTAGAATATACAACCATGTACCGGGGAGCTGTGGGGAGAAGAAGAAGAAGAAGAAAAAAAAGATTGGCAACAGATGTTAGCTCAGGTGCTAATCTTTGGGGAAAAAAAAATTGAGAAGTGATAAGGACCAGAATAACGAATATTGTATTATAAGTTGCTACACTTATATATATTGATTCCTTTACTTTATAAAAAGTTGAAAAACTGAAACTGCTCTGTGAGAGGCAAATAGTAAAGATTATGCGTACATGAATGGAATTTGTACTGCAATAAAATCTTATGATAAAGTGACTGACATAGATTTAGTATGAATGACTGTTACAGTATATGTAATTAGGAATAAAGGTAAGAGGATTGTATAAAATGTTATAATTGTTATTTATAATTACTGCTACTGTTAAATAGCAGAGAGCATTTCTGCCCTTAACTGAAGGGCGGGGAAGGGGAACCTGGGCAGGAAGTTTCTCTTGGACTCTTCTTGTGACTCTTCCTGACCCAGGGGTGTCAGGGCCGTGAGGATGTTTTCTCCAGGGCGTCGTGAAAGTGCTGGGAATGAATTGCTCAAGGTGGGCCGGCTGCTCCCTCCCTGTTGTGAGAATTGTCCCTTCTTCATTCAGGAACAAGAGTAAATGGAAACTGGTTAGCCTGGCCCTTGGGTCTCCACCGTTTGTGAAGGACAGCAGGGGAGAGAGGTTCCACCTCTGCCCTCCCCTGAGCCTCCAGGGTGCTGGAGTCCCTTTGACCCTGTGCTTCTGGGGCAACCTTGATGCTTGTCTGTGCTTTGTCTGCTTCTCTCTTGCTCTTCCCTCAGATGGAGAGACAAGGCTGAAGGCATGTTTCTTTTCCTTTCAGTGATTTTTATTTCACAAAGGTGGGATTTAAAGGAAGGCCTCTCCTTGGGGCCAGAATTCTCTCCTCATTGTCTGAAATTCTGTTCGTTAAAGATTAATTTGAATTAATAAGCAAGTACCTTAGACTAAGTAAAGACACTTATTAAGAATGACTGTCACACCTTAATAATAATCATCACTAGCATGTGCAGCATACTTAGTATGAGCCAGGGGCTAGTCTAAAGACTTTACTTGAATTAACTCATTTCATCCTCACAGCAGGCCTGTGAGGATGGTTCAGAGACGTCCAGTAACTTGTTCGAAGTTACGTGGTGGTGGGGAGGGGAGATCCAGGATGGAATCCAGCCGGGTCTGCACTGGGACTCGGACCCTTAGCAGCTGCGCTGAGCTGCATCTCCTGGATACTTAACGAGGATTTGATTTAATTTGTTTGCTTTATTCCTAACATCTAACAGTGATGCCTGTAAGAAATAGGACTGGAAGTGAAGAGGGTGAGGACATTTTAGGGGGAGACATGGCTGTAGGGGGTTGTGATGGGGACTTTGGAAAGAGACATGGGGAGCATTCTCCATGGCCGTTGTTTTCTCACTCATAAGCGTCTTGATATTACTGACCCTTATAATCAGTATGAGAATTCGATCCAGAACCTAGCAACTACTGTTTCTCTCCTCTGCTTCTCTCTCAACATCAACATCATTTTTCTTTTCCTGTGCTAGCCACAGAAAGCTCTTATGTATGTTTCTGTGTGTATATAAGTTAAACGCTTTATTATTAAATATTTAAATGTGATTTAAACTTAGACTTTGCAAATTCTTGAAGTGAAGGCCAATGAAAAGCAACTAATTTCTATAATTACCCTTTTTTTCTTCACACAGTATTGGCTGGATCCTGCAAAAACCCTTGCTGAACACAAAGAACTGATTAACAGTAGGTATTTAATTTTAACTTTGTTAAAGAGTGTCTTGAAAATGATATAATGTTCATGATTAGCTTGGCAAAGAAATAGGCTTTAGTACTACAGGGATGAGCGCTAACACGAGTACCAGAATATGGAAACAGGTGTTTATGTATCGCCAGGCTCGTTCTCCAAATTCTGATTAAATTTTAGTTGATAAAGATTCTGAGTGGATCTTAGTGTTGAATTTGGCTTGTGGTATGCCTTGACTTTTGTTGGTGATTTTTCTGTTTGCCTATCTTCAAAATTTCGCCTTAAAACAGACAGGGCAGAGAGGCACTGATATGAAAAAGAGGTGGACATCTGACCTCTTAAAGAGCTTGAACTTCCCAGGTTAAGGAGTGGTTTTTGTCATTCACGTTATTCAGTTTGCTGAGTCAGTAATTAAGGAGTGCCTTTGTGTCCTGCAAGATTTCTATGGCTTCAGAAAGGACCCATCTATTTTCAGGGGATAGCTTTTGGTTGTATCAGTATGAATCTTATTAGGTGACTCAGAGTATAATTAAGGTTATATTCCATAACCTTAATTTCATAACCCACACTTTTGTTTATAATTGCGCATACATGTGTGTGCACATAAACAGTCCTTAAGTATGCAAAAGAGTACTTTTAAAAAAATTATTTTAAAAAATTATGGTAAAATATATAACAAAATATATCATTTTAGTCATCTTTGAGTGTACAGTGCAGTGGCATTAAGTACATTTACATTGTTGTGCAACGATCGGCACTATCTCCAAAACTTTTTCATCATCCCCAACTGAAACTTTTTACTCATTAAAACGTTTTGCTTTAATGTGCAAATTATTGCTAATAAGATCTAGTGGATTCTTCTGGCCTTTATTACCCCCACTCTGAGTCTGTATTTTTTCCATGTGTATTGGCTCGTTCCTTGTGGTAAAATTGGTCCCATGGTGCTTCATGCACGGGCCCCAAGGGCAGGAACGTAGCTATGCTTCAGAAAGGAATCGGGAACTAGGAACTGCAAAACCATCAGGAACTCAGCAAGTATTGTTTCTCTGAACGTCAGCATCATTTTTGTTTCTCTCCTTGGACTGGCTCTCTCTGTTTCTCCATGTCCGTGGTGGAAACCTCCACAGTTTTCAAGTTACACATCACACAAGCAGAGGCTGACTGGCTCTCTCTGAATTGCAATTCCAAATTCTAGGAAGGGTGAGTCTGACCAGCCCAGTTTGAGTCATCAGCTCACCTCAGTCCACTCCACTATGCGTTGGCTTTTTCTTTTCTTTTTTTTTTGAGGAAGATTAGCCCTGAGCTAACTACTGCCAGTCCTCCTCTTTTTGCTGAGGAAGCCTGGCCCTGAGCTAACATCTATGCCCATCCTCCTCTACTTTATATGTGGGATGCCTACCACAGCATGGCGTGCCAAGCAGTGCCATGTCCGCACCCAGGATCTGAAGCAGCGAACCCCGGGCCGCTGAGAAGCGGAATGTACTCACTTAATTGCTGTGCCACTGGGCCGGCCCCTGTCTTGGCTTTTTCAAAGTCAGTACAAACAGCTGCCAGGGGGCCAGCCTTCTGGATGGGACTTGGCGGCAATTTCAGAGACTGGGGCTGGTGGCCTGTGGAGTGAGAAAGAACCCTCAAAATATATACCCTAGACGTCATCAAGTTCTGCTTACTCAGCCTACACAGGAGTAACTCCTAATGCAGAAGGGGTTTGTGACTTGCTGTGGATAAGAAGCTTGCTGGTAGCAGAGGGCTGACCAGATCCCTGGTCTTCTGACTTCTAGTGCCATGTTCTTCCCGAGTGAGAAGATGCCTACTGAAAGCCAAGGGGACGTATGAGGTTACATGTGATTAGATATAAATGCAGATAACTCCCATGAGGTATCTTCATATAAGTGCTAGGAGTTCTAATTTAAAAAGTCTTCTCCCTTGGGACCTAAAAATCTGCACTTTGCTGGAAGGTTCAGGTATAATAATAAATACGGTAAATATCTATCTTGTCCATTTGAACCAAATACTTAAAAAATACCAGTTTGAAAATTAGAATAATTTCAGGAATGATTATTTTAAAATAAATTCACAGATTTTTCTATTAAAACGTTGAGATTTCTATTCACGTGATGAAGAAAAATGTGAATTATTTAAGCTGCAATATTGAAGTGTTCCTAAGCACATTTGAAGTATCTATTTTTTACGATATGAAATACTCTATTTAAAAATCTGTAATCTATAATGCACTTGCTTTCTCGTCCTAAATAAATGTTGTCCTATCAAAATTTTGATGTGTAGAAAGAATAAAACACTGATAATACAACTGAAGAAAGATTATATAACTGAAGAATACATAATCTTTATATTTCATCTCATGAAATAGTTTGATAATTAATGAAGGAAAATGGCTCTTAAATCTCTAATAGATTATTCAGAAGGAATATCTAAAAATGATAGAGTACTTGCTAGTCACCAGGATTCTCATAGGTAAGTCTTGATTTATTTATCCCTGAGCTAATTTTTAAAAAAAATTTTTTTTGAGGAAGATTAGCCCTGAGCTAACTGCTGCCAATCCTCCTCTTTTTGCTGAGGAAGACTGGCCCTGAGCTAACATCCATGCCCATCTTCCTCTACTTTATATGTGGGGTGCCTACCACAGCATGGCTTTTGCCAAGCGGTGCCGTGTCCACACCCGGGATCTGAACTGGCAAACCCCGGGCCGGCGAGAAGCAGAACATGCTAACTTAACCGCTGCACCACTGGGCCAGCCCCCTTCCCTGAGCTAATTAATGGGAGACTCTTTCTTATCATTAAAGGTCTTGAAATTAGTCTCCACAAAAGGTAGATTAGAGGATTCCCAATTTCTGGCTTCTGTATTCTTTTGCTCAAGGGAAACAATATTAAATTACTTTATATAGGATTTCTTAAAGGTAGACTCTCTGGAAAAACATGGATTCGGGATAATAAATCCTGAATAAATTGGATAATTGAATAAATTGAGAATTTGCTTCATCAGTGCCTAATTTTTGTAGTCAGTCTTAAAATAGGAAGCTGAAACGTATCTGGGTAGACATTATCCTTGCTCCAAAATGTCCATTTCCATAGCCTTAGATTGATCTATAACACAGTGATGTATATGAAAGTCTTTGCTTTACTCTAAAGGTATTATAATTTTGTTTTTCCTTGGAAGGCTGATAGTATAGGTCAGAAAGTACTGACCTTCAGGTGTTAGCAAACTTGCTTCTGATCCTTGTGATCTTAGGCAAGCTGCTCCTAGAAGCTTCATCTGCTTCCATATGTTACCAGGTGGTTGTTGAGAATTGAATGTTTATGAGATATTTTTGTACATTATCAAATGCAATCAAATGGTAATGATGCCTTATATTTAGAACACACAACATTTTATATCTAAATGGGAAATAGAGGGCTGATTTGGGCCAAAAGTCCTTAAAGAAAATTACCCCAACCTGTATGTTTTTAATTGTGTATTTTTCAAAATTCTGCTTAACTGCTCATCACTAAACATGTTTGAAATGGCTGTGCCTGGTAAGTAGGATGTAATCTGCCACGTTCCGGGGAATAAAAGCAATTCTGGAGTCTGGACAGGCCTTCTTCCCTTTGTGCATGGTCTCAGCAGCATGTGTGCTCCTCCCGCCCCCTCGATGCCAACCCCAGTGGCCTGCGGGCATAGGCGGACCCATCTGCTCAGTAACACAGAGCATGATTGACAGAGATGGATCAGCAGAGGGTGGACTTCCTGGCTCTTCTAAATATTTAATAGTCTGTGCCTCTCTGACATCTTCATCAGTAGTAGAGGCAGGGGTGTATTTGTCAGAAATATAAACACATTAAGTATACATAGAGATTGAACATATGAAATCAACTCTAATTATAAGAAATTATAACAAACTGTCTTAAAATTTAGTTTTTAAAAAAGCTCGAGGCCAAGGAGTGCCTTATACAGAAAGGCATAGGTGAGGAGAGCAGAGCGGGGCCCAGTGTTGGTTGTCTTCTCTGTGCCAGGAACGGGGTTTTGGGGTGTTCTACAAACATAGCATGAATGTGTCATCATATAATAAATAATGACATAGTTTGTATATTATAAATGCATTATGGCTTTATTACCTGTTGTTCAACTTAAGTTCCTTTCCCCAGCTTCTAAATTTGTGACTTTTACTCAGTTAAAAATGAAAACAGGAAGACCAGGGTTATTTTCTGTCAATAACACAGTGTCAGAGCCTTGGGATCACAATGTGTATGTGGAAGTATCCTTACTGAGGTACATACTTTGCGTCTTTTCTTTTGTATTTGTGTAGGAGAGCTTTTGTTAAAAAATTAGAAACTATGAATACTAATTGGTGCACCAGGTAACAAATCCATTTTAAAACGGATTTAATATAAGATTTAGTTACCACACTGCTCAGAAGTATGCAGTTTTGGAAACAGTGCAGGTTAGAGTCATATGCTCTGAAATAGAAACATTTGTAGTAAAAGCATAATAAAATGTGGCTGGCACCCAAGAGGCTTGTGTTCTCTTGCAGAATGTGAGTGTTTAATTATATTTTATGTTTGCCTGTGTAGGTACAATTCCATGCTTTGTTACACATATATATTTGGTATTTGTGCATGTAGTTCTTCTCTGTGTGGTAAATGACTGAGATGAGAAATGTCTTCTTAAATATGTAAGACCACATTCTTAAGTTCAGAAGAGTTTACGAATGAGACAAATATTGCCCCTAATCCTACCACGTAGCCTCACTGACGATTATTTTTCTTAAAAAGGTAAGAAATTTCTAACTTACCAATTTTGCTGAGAGTAAAATTTAAATGTTCTCACCAGGAAAAAAAAAGTAAGTAGATGAGGGGATGGATGTGTTAATTAACTTGATGAAGGGAATCCTTTACAGTGTGTGCATATATCAAATTGTCACATTACACACTTTTTAAGTATCTTACAATTTGTCAATTGTACCTCAGTAAAGCCTGGAAAAAAATTAAGTTTCCAGTCCCTCTTCCCCAAATTTGCCATTATTACTAACTTCTTACGTATTCTAGGGGGAAAAAACAAAACGCATTTTTTTTTTTAAAAGATTTTATTTTTTTCCCTTTTTCTCCCCAAAGCACCCTGGTACATAGTTGTATATTCTTCGTTGTGGGTCTTTTTAGTTGTGGCATGTGGGACGCTGCCTCAGCGTGGTTTGATGAGCAGTGCCATGTCCGCGCCCAGGATTGGAACCAACGAAGCACTGGGCCGCCTGCAGCGGAGTGCGTGAACTTAACCACTCGGCCATGGGGCCAGCCCCCAAAACCCCGCATTTTAATGGGTAACTTTTTTTCACAAAAGGGGTCATAATTTTGCAGTCAGAAATACAGATTGGTGATCTTCCCCCTTCAGCACATAAAGTTCTCCCTCTGCCCGTTTAAACAGTTGTGTGGTACCCTGTGGACGTGCTGGGCTTGGCCTAAGTGGTCCACCTGTTCCTCAACATTTAAGTTGTTTATGGCTTTTTGCAGACTTTTTTTGTACTTTTTGCAATAGCTAGTGATAGTTGGATGGTTAGAAAACCATTTATTTTGTTTATCAATAATCTTCATTATGAAAAAAAATACATGTATGTTGTAGAAAATGTGAAAAATTATAAATAAAAATTGTGTGTAACCTCACTAACCAGAGGTGAGAACTGGCGACATTTTGGTGTATTTGGTCCTGTCTTTTTTCCTGTGTTGATGAGCACATAGACCCTACACACATAGTTACCTGCATGGTTGAAATCCTACTCTTATGCATCTGAACTCTGTCTTTCTCATTTTTATTTTTTCTTGTGTCTTTAGAAATTCCTAGTATAATTTTTAAGCACCTTTATTGAGCTATCTTTAACATATAAAAATTGCATATATTTCAGCTGTAAAACTTGATGTTTTGATATATGTATACACTGTGAAAATATCACCACAATTAAGCTAAGTAACTTATCTATCACCTCTACTTAGTTACCAGTGTGTGTGTGTGTTGGGAGGGGCGTGGTGAGAAGATTTAGTTTAAGATCTCTACTCTTAGCAAATTTCAAGTATATAATACGGTATTAATTGTTGTCGCCAGGCAGTATATTAGGTCCTCAGAACTCATTCATCTTGCATAATTGAAACTTTGTACCCTTTGACCAACATCTCCCCAATTCCCCCTCCCCCAGACCCTGGCAACCATCATTCTATTCTCTGCATCTCTGTGTGTGACTATTTTAGGTTCCACATATAAATGAGATAGGCAGTATCTGTTTTTTGTGTCTGGCTTATTTCACCTAGCATAATATTCTTCAGGTTCATCCATGTTGTTGCAGATAGGAGACTTTCCTTCTTTTTTACAGCTGAATAATATTCCTGTGTGTGTGTTTTGCATTTTATTTATCCATTAATTTGTTGATGGACACTTAGGTTGCTTCCATATCTTGGATATTGTGAGTAATGCTGCGTGAACATGGGAATTCAGATATCTCTTTGAGATCCTGATTTCATTTCTTTTGGATAAATACCTAGTAGTGGGATTGCTGGATCATATGGTAACTCTATTTTTAATTTTTTGAGGAACTTCCGTACAGTTATATAATAGCTGTACCAATTTACATTCCCACCAACTGCATACAAAGGTTCCCTTTTCTCCACATCCTCACCAGCGCTCTTGTCTTTTTGATAATAGCCATTCTTATAGGTGTGAGGTGATATCTCATTGTGGTTTTGATTTGCATTTCCCTGCTATTTAGTGATGTTGAGCGCCTTTTCATGTATCTGTATGACCATTTGTATGTTGTTATTGGAAAAATGTCTATTCTGGTCCTTTGCCCATTTTTTAATTCAGTTGTTTTTTTGCTGTTGAGTTGTACGAGTTCTGCATATATTTTGGATGTTAACCTCTTATCCAATATATGGTTTGCAAATATTTTTGGTGAGTATAATTTTTAATAGTTTTGTAATATTACCCTACTACTTTGACTAGTTTATAATGGAAATTTAATTATTTTCTATTTCTTGTTTTAGCTGGACCTCCGTATACTTTGTATTTTGGTATTAAATTCTATGCCGAAGATCCATGTAATCTTAAAGAAGAAATAACCAGGTATGGTGTTGACTTTGCTTTTGAACATCACATGTATGGCATATATAAAAGGGTTTTATTTGAAATAAATTGGGGTCAAACATTTGGATGTGTCTACATGTGTTCTGTAATGCATCTCCTGTGAGACTTAAATTTATACTAGCATTCAATGAGACAGATCACTGTCTGATGATAGATGTGTTTGAACAATGGCATCAACCTGGGTAACATGATGATAGATTTTGCATCTGCTGTGATGGGATATTTCTGTATCATTATTGTGAAGGATGCATTCAGCCTTTGTAGTCATATAAAAGTAGCCCTTTGAACTGCTAAAGGAAGGATATTTTGATGCTTGGTTTGCATATGTAAATATAAATTTGAAGAGCCAGTTATTTCTCCTTAATTGGTTACAGCTTAAATATCAGCTGTCAGGGGATTTCATTTATCTCTATAGGAAATAAAAAGATAATTGCTTTTAGTATTAAGGGAGAGAAGACAACTAATGTTTTGTAATATATTAATGACCTTCGTCATCAAATAGTTTATTTTGGTTAAGGCAGATTTTCCAATTTGCATTGATTGTATTTTTAAAATATTTAATGCCAGCCCTTGAAAGTGGCTTATAAGGAGCAGACAATAGTGTTATGTTTTCATGTATTCCGCTAGTGACCTGACTGCACGTGGTAGTGAAAACAAAACTGTTTTCTGTAACTTAACTAAAAGTGATCAGTTTTCCTAGTGAACCCCTATCATTAGGTAAAACCTAATGTATTATTCAAAAAATTGGAAATCATATCTCTGATAACCAAGGCAGTCTATGGTTTTGATTCTATCCATCCTTTCATCCTTTTCCTTAGACTTTCTTTTGTCTTGGTTCTGGACTGCACACAGAAGAGTGAGAAGAGGGTAGACTAATTGGACCTTTCCTGTTCCACTCTGAAGTGCTATAATTAGGCCTCACTTTTAGAACCGTGCTGATGTCTGCATTCACGTCTTCCATCGCCACATTGTTAGCAAGCCCTCTGAAAAGCAGGGCTGCCCATTGAGGCTTTCTGCAAGTGCACTTCTATGGGACAAGGGCTGTTGTGTTGGGGAGATGTTGAGGAGAGGGGTGGTATTTACATTAGAACTTCATGAATAGTCTTTGCAATCAAGAGTGATTTCTGAGTCATGAGCTCATGGGGAAACTGAGTCCAAGTGGTATAAAAACTCATTAGGGAATTGCAAGGAAACAACATTTTGTGAAAATACAAGGAAAGTCCTTCATTTTGAGGTTGTTAGTAACCTCTCTGTGCCTCAGTTTCCTCAACTGTAAAATTGGAGATGTATCTGTCTCATAAGGATTTTGTAAGCATTAAATGGAATAATGTATTAAGAAGGGGAAAAAGAGCAGTATTTTATAATGCATTACTTCACATCTGTTCACCAAATATTAATGATGACCAGAAATTTCCCTTTGGAATCTACTAACAGCTCATTAATAGAATACGTGGATTTGTGTGTAATGTACAACCCCACAATATGTTTAGTACAACGTGTTTTTCCTTAAGTATTAGACCAGATCATTTAGTTGAGAACGAGATAATGTAATTGGCTTACAGTTAGCGACCATGATCTATAATAATTTTTTGCAGAAAAGATTTAGTTGAATTTACATAAGGTAAATGTGCATTTAATGTGGTATCACTATGTACTTAGTATGTCCTAGAGATAAAGTCATGGATTTGCACCTACCCATGTATAATGGACCTTAAGAAGAGAGTCAATTACATGACATAATTTTGGCAAAAGCAAAAACTGAAACCAAAAAGCAAAATCTGCCAATATATGCTAATAAAGGAAAATGATATTTAGGCCAGCATTTTCGAGTTGAACATTTATCCTGCTTCATTTCTTTGGAAATTGTTCCAGCCTACTCTGTATTGGCTTTTAGGTTGTTTATATTTTTTTGATGTGAAAAATAATGCTATAGTAAGCATGCTTCTCCTTATTCTTCTATACATATAGTTTTTTAAAATAATCATGCTATTTTATACCTATTGTACAGACTTCTTTCACAATTTAACCATTTGTTTTACTCCTGCAGAGTATTCTATAATTCATTTAACCATGACCTTGTGGTTGGCTCTCCAGCTTGTTTCCTTTCTTAAAGTTATAGATAATGCTGCATTGAATCTTCTCATGTACATGTATGATCACATATGATCATGTACATATATGACTAGATGCTGTATTCCAGAAGGACGTTGTATTTAGGAGAAATAACTAGAGGTGATTGGGATGCACAGGGAAATAAGGTTCTACACCATGGAAGATACAAGTGAATAGAATCATATCAACCTGGAGTGCCTGCTATGTGCTCAAAAATGTTTTCTGAAATAAAGTTGAGGGACTCTGAGGTCATATATCCTAACCTCCTCCCTCATATGCAGCATTCCTGACAGGTCAGCGAACTTCTTTGTAAACATTTTTAAGACAGGAAAACTTACCACCTTGCAAAAAGCATTGGGAAATTCAATAAGAAATAAATCCCTGGAACGTCTGTCATCAGTACCAGGTTTTCTTTCTAGGTCTATGCAGAATAAATCTAATCTCTCTTCTCTTCATCAGTCCTTTAAATAATTCATGTTCTCATGACATCTGTTAAACTTATTTTCAGTTCTGATTCAAAATATTATGACAGCCTTCCGTATATTCTTTGTCATTCATAGTTCTGTATCCTCTGCAGATTTGATAAGCATAACACACATATTACTTAAGAAGACAGGCCTAGAGTCGGAGAGGCTGGGGTTTTGCATCTTTACTCTGCCACTCACTCATTGTGTATTCCTGAGAATATTACGTAACCTTTTAAAATTTCAATTTTCTCATCTGTAAAGTGGAATTAAAGTAGTTCTTCAAAAAGATGATGGGAGAAATATATAAGATAATACATGCAAAGTATTTACCATAATGCAAAAATGTAAGTGTTCAGTAGATGGTTTGTTGTTGTTAGTGCTGTCCAGCTGATTCCTACTCCTAGCAACCCTGTGTACAGCAGAGTGGAACCCTACCTGGTCTTTTTGTGCTATGCTCTTGCCTTCTGGTGCTATATCAAACAATGCCCCACTGGTGTTCATGGGGTTTTCATGGCCAACTTTTCAGAAGTGGGTGGCCAGGTCCACATCCTTGTCTGTCTTAATCTGGAAGCTCTGCTGAAAGCTGTCCACCATGAGTGACCCTCTGGTCTTTGAAATACTGGTGGCATAGCTTTTACCATCACAGCAACATGCAGCGGCTACAGTATGACAACCAGCAGACTGTGGTGTGGTTCCCTGCCTGGAAATGAACCCAGGCCTTGGTGGTGAGACTGCTGAATCTTAATCACTAGACCACCAGCAGTAGATGGTAAGGGTAGCTAAAATGGAAATAATGGTAATTACTTTATGTTTTCAAGTTACTGATTACTATATTAAGGAGGAAAAGAACAACTTGGTGCCCTGAGATAGGTCTTCCAGGCTAAAGTCAATCTTTTAATTAGAACTTTCTGGGTATAGTTGTTCATTTAACTGTGAATCATCCTACTTCTTCCCTCTAGCCTGCATTTCTTGAGTTTGTACTTAGAGACAGAATTCACTCACTCGCTTGCCTACCCTTCATTCACTAACTATGTGGAGCATGGTGTTCCAGTGCACTGAGTATTGAGAAGATTCAGTAGTGACCAAAGAGAGAGAGGGTTCCAGTCCTATTTCTGAAAACGAAAGTAGTCGTAGTTCCAAATAACTTGATCATAATGAGCGTTCTTTAGCTTCTAAAAACAGGTGTTTATTTCTTAGTTTATTTTATGATATTTTATAGTATTTTCTTGGTGGATGACGTTAAACTCGTCAATTACCGTTATTTTTTTTTTTAAGAATCCATATTTGTCACTTTGTGAAGATCAGCCTGTTTTACCTTCTTTACTGTTGAGTGACCTTCAGTTACATATTCACTTCTGGAGTCCCTGTCTCCTTCATAAGTGAAGATAATGGTCCTCAATACAGCAGAGTTGAGGTGAAGGTCATATTCCAGTATGGGTGTAAAAGAAATTTGTGAACTATATAAAGACGTTTACACATGTAAGGTGATATTATTATTTATTCCTGTATCTTAATCATCGGCTTTAAACTTCTGAGGCAAGTGTTATTCCCAATCTCTTTTGTCGCTTTCTCTTGAGAATTAGTGGTTGCTTCCTCTACTATTTTTCTTCTTCTTAAGCCATACCTGCCATTTTCCCCACAGTGTTCAAAATTATGTTATTATTTAAACATTTCCTTTTGTGCCTCACTTTTAAGTTTTATCCAAACTGATTAGGCTCCTATCAAATGCTTTGTTCAGTCTTGGTGGGATGCGGAAAACAATCCTGCCTTCCATGTGGGTAGGTACTCTTCTCTTAGATAATTCTTCAGTATCACATTCAGCTGGTACCAGAAATCAAACTTCTTCTTGTCCCCACATATTTCAGTTTCCTCACCAGGGAGGGTCTCCAGTCATTTGGGTGCATGCATCTTTTCGAATTACTGGGTTCTTTTTGTTGTTGTTGCTTCCTTTGGATAAATACCCAGAAGTGGAATTGCTGGATCATATGGTAGTTCTATTTTTAATTGTTGAAGAAACAATTTAAGAAACAAATTGTTTAATTGTTTAAGAAACCTCTGTACTGTTTTCCATAGTGGCTGTATCAATTTACATTCCCACCAATAGTCTACAAGGTTTCCCTTTTCTCTACATCCTTGCCAAGACTTGTTATTTATTGTCATTTTTATAATGGCCATTTTGATAGGCATGAAGTGATATCTCATTGTAGTTTTAATTTGCATTTCTCTGATCATTAGTGATGTTGAGCATCTTTTCATGTATCTGTTGGACATCCATGTGTCTTCTTTAGAAAAATGACTGTTCAGGTCCTCTGCCCATTTTTTGATTGGATTCTTTTTTTTAATTATTATTTTATTGAGCTCATGATAGTTTATGACATTGTGAAATTTCAGGTGCACATT